CAAAATGCACTGAAAAAACTAACGGAGGAACCGTTGCCAACTAAGAAAGTAAGAAGAAGAAAAAACGTTCTGGAAGAAAAAGAGCGTGCAAGTATTCGAGTGTGATAGTATTCGGACCTTGCGTGTGATCTATTTTAGCAATTTGTCGAATGGTTTCGAGATAAACTAACAGCGATTTTCCAAAATTGCTTCTTTTATGGTACTGCTCAAACTTTTGAACACAGGATCGTGAAGACTGTGAAAAAACATTCGCCCTTGTTAGTTGTCGTTGTGTCCCTGAGAGCGCCTCAAGATTGGTAAGTCGCGACTGCGGATTCACTCGTCCTCGAGGATATTTACCTTTCCGTGGTAAGAGAACGGACAAAGCAAACTTGAAACAGAACCATGAATCTTTCAGTTATTCACCCATTCTAATAGTTTCGTGAGTCTTCTTTTCTGAGGTGAAGCGAGCACACTTTCGTTCCTTTAAAAAATAACTCCGTGATAGTAGAGTGCCTCCATTCGCCGCGCCGAATCGCTTGAATCCATTTCTTTCTTCGTAAAGAACTTTGGCAAAGCGAAGATAATCAACTTTCGTCTCTTCTGGAGTTAAATCTCCTATTTGATGGCTCTTAAGCACGTAATAACTCGAAGGAAACCATATTCATCGACTGAATCGCTAAGGGAAAGTTCATTTAATATGACAAGGGGGGGATGAAGATATTGAGGGGGGGCTCCGAAAATTTTTAGACACCCGAAGGGGGGGGGCTCTGAAAAAATTGTTGCGCTAGGAGGGGGGGCTCCGAAAATTTGTATACTTCAAAACCAACACATGACATCATCATACAGATCGGATGGTTTTCAACTCAACAATTTAATGACCTGTGCAACTCAGCTATATCACGTGGTTTACTGTTATAACAAATGTAGTCTCAGTAATTATTACACTCTTGTTCATCCCAAAAATGCTTAAGAAAAATTTTATCACAACTGTATCTCAAGTTTGTCATAGTATAAACCATTGACGACAATAACGGTAAATATATTTAATACAGTCTAGCGATCTTTTTTCAGGGGAGCAAAGGAATTGAAGGAGGAGGGAGGGGGGGCTCTGAAATTTTTTCGACTACCAAGGAGGGGGCTCCTAAAAAATTGAACCGCTAGCGAGGGGGGCTGCTAAAATTTCAAGCTTTGAGTTTCAATATCTTCATCCCCCTTGTCATATTAAATGAACTTTCCCTAAGACACGCAGTCAAAACAAAACTATGGAGGCGTCACTAGCCTCGCTTTCGCGCAACTAGACCCGGGACGACCGAGAGATCCGCCATATTTGCATTCGGTGTGATGACAAGGCAGAATGAGGAAGCTTAAGTATTGATAGTTAGTCAAGCGAGTCCTCGATATCGTTGTACGCCGACACATAGCACCGCTCTCGGTGGTTAAAGATTGCTGACTGAAATCAGTTCTCAAGCAAAAACAATGGAAAATTCTAACAACAAACCGAAATCTAATCAAATCAAATCTAAGGCCAACAAAACTGTCGTTCGATACAGTACGACCGCCGATGGATGGAACATGAAGTTTGTCTCTCTCGCCAGCCACAAAATGGTTCCATCCAAGTTCGAAGATTGCTTTAAGAAAGACGGAAAGCAGGCTAAACAGTTAGCCATAGAGTATAAAGCAGAAAAGGCTTTCTCCATCATCGCAGACGGCAGAAAAGAGCACGAAACAAGCGCTCCACGGCCCACAAAAATTGTTTCAGCATTGGGTTCAGAAGAGGAAGTTTATTCAGTCGGTGCTGACTGTGGTATGTTTGCTGCCGTTTGTACAGCCTATTCTCATCACTATAGGCTTAGGACATCGCCAGATGATTGGTGGTTCTGTGTTATCAAGAGGGTTGCCTGTGCTATTGATCAAAACTCGTCGAAAGCCTCAGTGCGCAACTTGTTTGTCGATCATGAAGGAAAAAAAACAATCGAAGTACAGGTTGAGGATCTCACCATCTACACCGTGGATTACAACTTTCTGTTCGATCAAATAACAAAACAGTTAAAAGAAAACTTAAAAGTGCCCGAGTTTGTTGATGGAGTCACCGCAGATTTTGGAACCACCTCAGCTGTACAGAAGATCGTCTCGCAGATTACGCTGATGTATTCTGTTAACCAATATTTCGACTGTGGAATGATGACCATGTGTGGCATACCAGCGGTGGAGATGCTTGGCAGTGAAGAAGACTGGATGAAATTAAGTTCTAAGCTGAAAGTTTTAAGAACACTCTTAGAACCCATAGAGAATGATCTTGGCCTTTCATCAAAATGGTGGGATCTAGTTCAGAAAGTGTTCTGGAATCTGCAAACCACCTATCAGGGACACCCAGATGAAGATTGGTGGAGTCATATTATGAGCTATGAAGAAGCTCATCAGTCGGGTATGTATTGTTCAATCAATTTATACGATTGTAATACAAAAGGCAAAAAAAAAACTACCGAAGGTGTTAAAAGTACCAAAACCACGTGAAAAGCTTACATAACGCTAAGGAAGTAAGAATTTATGCTACCTACGAAACTGGTAGAAAAGTCTTGAGAGAATTGTCCGTAGACTTGCCAAACGCTGATGCGCCTGTAAACGGCTTCTTTTACACAAAAAGGATTGACCGTTTTCATTTTATTGTAGTCTTTTTATCCACAAATGATATATACTATTGGTTCAACTAGGGATTAACAGGTGTTTACCAAAACATATCACAGCTCAGTAAGCTGATCACAAGCAGCAGTTTCTAGAACGTCAAAAAGGTTCTTTAATGGAAATTCATCATTATCTTGGAAGAACGTTCTTTATGAAGAGTTCGTATAATCACAGTCAGCGCGAGTAGGCTATCCAAAGCTCTTTTATTTGAGATTGTAAGTCAGGTTTAATGAAGTCTGTCCTAGTTTACGGTCAACTCTTGCCTTGCATACACCCCGCTACAACGGACCGTCCCGATAATAGGGACAGCGGCTAAATCCCCGGCAAAAACAAATTTCAGACTTTTGGCCTAAATAAACTCTCATTACTACGGACTCTCGCTTATGAGGACACTAACTTGAGGTCCCCGCAGTGTCCGCAATATCAGGGAGTTGACTGTACTTCGTATAATCTAGGGAGTACATATTCACGAAATTAAGCAAACAAAAATAATTTACCGATTTTATTTTGTTTCTCAGGAACTCCCGCTGGCGGTATCAAAGGATGGATCACAGATTTCTTGGAGGGACCGCGATATGTAAGGGCACTGTGGGGGCCTGGTGACTTTACAAGTGGCGTAGTGGCCGTTCCTTTCACTATCAAGAACCCTTTTGATGTCCAGGATACCGCGGCATTGGTGGCAGGAATGCTGGGCTTCACTGTTCACAGGATACCCAACTGTGATGAGGTGTCTGTACAACCATTCCAAGGATGGTCTCTTATGTTGTCCGACGACTCGCCTTTTTGCAAATTCTGAACAAACCACTGACATTGGCTTTATAAATTAGTTTAGAAATAACACTTAACTACAAGGAAAGTTAAAAGTGTTTCAGTACTGTAAAATAACGCATTTAGCATTTTTTTCATTCAAATGTGGGCTCGATATTTTTTTTAGAAACGTAGCTAGTGAAAATAGCAGCCATTTAAGTGAAAGCCGCGCAAGCCAAAATGCAGGTTTCTTGAGCGCGAAAAAAGCCCCAAAATCACACTACACAGAAGAAAAAGGAAAAGAAAATAGAAAGAAATCAAGAAGAAACGAAGGTGAAAAACGAAATAGTTCCTGTCTTGGTTTTTTTGTTTTCTGTTTTTGTTTTTGCTTTGTTGTTTTCTTTGTTTGTTTTTTTCATTGCCGATACTTTGGAGACGGTTTTCACCACAGTTGCCCAACAATGATTCGCACTTTTTCGGTGGAAAAGTCAGACTGGAATTCCTAAAATTCGGCCTTTGAAAATCAGTAGTCATTTGACCAAACTGCGGCCAAATCACGAGATTATTTTAGTCTGAAAAGCCCGACAGGATAGGAAATATCGAGTGATGAGAAGAGAAAAAGGAAAACAAAAAATCAGTGTTGCACTCTTTGTTTTTATATTGTCTACTTTGAGGATAGTATTTCAACGAAAAAACTCTGCTTGACCGAAAAAATTTAAACTACTTTCAGGCATCTCCTCTTTCCTTTGAAAACTTTTGAAAGTTTTTGTGGCACATGCTGTTTATGACAAATACACTCAGCTTAAATAATATTAATATTTACAACAATTAGTTAATAGCGGCTAGAGCAGTCAAGAAGTAGGGAGAAACCCTCGACTACATTGCGAGTTTGCCCGTACAATTCCTTCATACTCTAGCCGTTTCCTGCGTACTTTACAACTTAGTCAACAAACAGAACAGAGCACAGACAGTCAAGGTATTTGTTAAACTTTTCGTATTAGTCATTACTTTCGGAATTAACGGGTCATTAAAGTTAGTAATTATCACGAGAGCTTTTCATAACAGAGATTAAGTCACAGTTCAACTGGGGTATCACAATGCTGGTCGTAAATACAGCTGATCGCTTACTAAAAAGCGAATTCGTACTGTTTCAAACTTCATGGATCTTATTATTCAAAAAGAAAAAGAGAATTTTTGTGTTTTGTTCAACTACTCCATTAAGCGAGCGCGTGAAGTTAGGAAGTTTCATGTCACAGTCGTGCAAAGACGGCTACGAAATGTACAAAAAAGTGTGATGGACGTGCAAAACAACCAATTTTTTTTTTTTGCCTTTTTTGTAGCCGTCGCCGTCCTCGTTGCTAAAGCTCCCTATCGTCCTTGATCCAGATAATTTACGACCATGGTAACGTCGATAACGTGACGTCAGCCTTTGCAAAAAGCGCATTATCTTATGGTATCACTAAGATCCGATATTCAAACTAACGTTACGGTATGATTTTCTTTGTTTTTTCTTTATGAATTATGAATACTTGTGCATTCTTATGCAGTCTATTACAGTTTTAATTAAAAACAGCTGACTCTGAGTGTTTTTAATAGCACTTCCCTTTTTTCTCTTCGGTATCACTGACGCGAATGTTTTGAGAAGTTTCCTCATTGTCCGTGGACAGTTTCTTCTCGAGCATTTTTTCAGCTAGGTTGTATAAGGCTTCCTTGATGTTGATATTCTCTTCGGCACTTACTTCAAAGAACTGGGCACCGTGCTCTTTAGCCAATTAAAGCAAAAAAGGAAGCAAAGAAAAAAACAGCTATTAAAACTTTTCTCCACATTTTTATTACTATTTATTGTGGTACGTTATTTAGGTTTCTACGAATGGCATCCGCTTATTATCCCATCATCACAACTGACATGGGCACCCACAGGTTAATACCATAAGGGTTAACAAAGACATGGCAATGTCCAGGGGCCACGGTTTCTCGGAAGTCCCGGTAACTTTTCGGGCCCTAAGTCAAATATTCAAATCAAAATAAAAAGAATAAGAGCGCCGGTCCTGGCTAGCAAACTACTCCATTTTGTTTCATTAACTGATAGTTTTGTCATGGTAGATGTAAAACTATTGAAACCTCGATCTCTAATGTAAACGGAGTCAGCTTACCGGGTCCGTTAATTATCGGGACTTTCGAGAAACGGGCCCCAGGCCCCAGTTGCTTTAAAAGTTGGATATAGCGCTATCCAGTGGATAAGTTAGGCTCTTGCCGATTGTGCTAGCATAATTTTTGGCATAATCTGAGGAATTGAGCATAATTTTTGCCCTTTTTCCAAAAGTAGCACTGCTAGCATAATCCGTATATTTTCTTGTCTTAATAGCACAATTTTAGAATAATTCAAGAAAACGAAGATCTCAGCTACTAAAAACGATAGATTACTATTAACAGTTGCTTCCACTCCTATTTTTCGATTTTTTTTTACTTGTGTTGAGATACCGCGGGAGTTCGATGAAACGGAACCGGAAGTCTGTGTCTCGGTCCCAGACTCCTTAGTCTTTCTCCCAGTGCTCGTTTCAAAATCCGCGGATAGTTATCCACCACACTATCCAGGCTTTGTGCAACCTACTTTTGTTCGCTGGATAACTATCCGCTGGATAGCAGATTTATTCGCCGTATAGGCCCAACCACCGGATAAAGTTACCCAGGTTTTGAACAACCGGGCCCAGAACGTCTGGCCAGGGTTAATAAAATACATTTTCAAACTTGTCTTGTGAGTTGTGAAGTTTGTGCACAGAATAATTTTTTAAAAAAGTAGCATAATTTTGAAAAGCGAGCATAATTTGAGCATAATTTGGGCAAAAAACGAGCACTGCCACTAGCATAATATGCCACTTTTACTAGCACAATCGACAAATGCCTAGGATAAGTGGTAAAGGGAAACCAATTGCGTTATCCGCTGGTTAGAGATTTAGCCGGTGGATTGCGTTACCCACCTTTTGAACAACTGGGGTCAAGACTGGAAAAAGAAACAAGGGGAATGTGCCTGGGATTCATAAAATGCAGCGAAGAAGTAAATGTGTTGAAACAACTTGATTGCTGGTCCTGTTCTCAACAAGGGCAAACAATGATTATGATAATGATGATGGTATTTACCTGTAACCAGGTTTCACTCTACCCTTTTTTCCTCCAGAAAGCCCAAGATTACCACTTAGGGGACCACAGATTTGTTGCATCTGATTTGGTGGACCTACTGTGAAGTGTCTTACACTTCAGTCAACTCACCTGCTCCCCGTTTTCCTTGCTGACAATTCTTCTATCTTCCATATGACATTTGCTACCAAGGATCATCTTTTCTACATCTTCATTTGCATGCTAAAATAGAGTGGGGAAAAAGAATTCAAGGGTGATCCTGAAGACTTTCTCTGTCCTATAAAAACAATTGTGTGCTTGACAGAATAAATAAAATTTGCAACACTCAGGTTTTATTACGTTCGACGTTAGGACAACGCAACTCCCTATGTGGTACTTGGGTATCCTGTGGTACTAAGGGGTGACCTTGTGATGTCGTACGTACGGAGGTATTTGAGTTCGGCGAGGGAATAAAATGTGCAGCTGTTTTCGAACTGGGTTTTATCGCTGAGCTGGCGATTCTGTCCTTCCTTTCTCTGTGTCACTTCATGCTTTTCGAAGGGGCATGTTTAACTTTTTACAAAATAAAGCTTTCTAGGATCTACTTCTCATCTATCAGGATCTGATAAGAGGGTCTCAATGTGGTTAACCGATAGGCGTAAAACGACCATAAATTTAGTCGATAGCCGTAAAAATTGAAAAATTTTAACCGTTAGCCGTAAATTGAGTAAAAAAGAGTTAACCGTAAAAGAAATTGTTCCCTAGATTTGTTAACTTTAAGGAAGGTGCTTAACTCGCTTATGGTTGCGTTTTTTATTTTCCGGCTACTTTGACTCCATACGCACGTTAGGCGAAAAGCCTTTTAGGTGTTGACCAAGACCTAGGCTCCATTTCCGCCGCTATCTCGGGGAACTAATTTTTCCTATAGCGAAAGAGGGCTTCTTGCTGGGAATTAATATTTGCGATTTTCAGAGGGTCGTGCCCTCGAAACACTAGTGAAACAACACCAGAGCTGTTTGTAAAACACGTTGCCGATAAACAACATTTTCCTGTTTTTCTCTGACGCTACGGTAGACATTGCCATGCCTAGTCCCTGCATGTACGGCGTCTTCCCACTCAATCTCGGTCAAGGCATTTCGGTGGCGAACTCGCTCGGACCACGTGACCCGAAACGCATTAGCCGCGCGGAATAATGAGGTCTACGGACAAGGCAACGACAGGCGTTCTTTTTTTACAGTCCTTCGCTATCATTAAAAACTCTGGACACGAGAATTTTGTTATTGGCCGTTTTCACACGACAGCTAGAAAGGGATTATCCAGAGTAGCCTGTGTACAGTCGCCCCCTCCTCCACAGCGTTAGACACCCCTTCTCCGATTTTTTCTGCGGGGAGGTTGCCGCTGTACACAGGCTATCTGTAACGGATAATCCATCTTCCGTCCTTCAAAATTGACGGATAAAAGTCAAGGGGATTGTTCATTTCAAAATTAAAACTATTCCATTTTCAAATTGAGACGTATTACCTATCTGACGCGAATCATCAAACGGATTACCCGTCTCACACGAATAACCCGTCTCTAGTGTGGAATGTCGCGCCCCGGCCTTGAGTTAGGCGTTCGCGTGTCTGCTTCCTATTGGCATTTCTATGTGTAAAATAATATTAGAAGTGGAATACTTTATAAAAGTATATTGATCTATCAAATGTGAACATTTTTCAATAGAATAGCTTATTTTATCCGGAGATGATCCGAAGGCCTTTATTTTGCTTTAAAGATACAAAAAATACAGGTTAATTAATATTTAACTTTTTGAAACAAAAGAAATTAATTTTTAACTTTTTTGTTAACCGTAACTGCAAAAAATTAACCGATAGCCGTAAAAGAGCCAACATTTTAGCCGATAGCCGTAAAAGCCACCACCCCATTGAGACCCTCTGATAATTGACCATACTCGAGGGTGGATAAAGACATTTCTCACATGATTTTGAAATATACAGTTTGGAAGTAAAGATAAGAAAACTAGTGAGGTTGTTATCACCAGAGAGATATTCATAGTGATTGCAAGCTGAGATTCTATAATGTCCCAGCTTCTACAAGCGAAAATTGTACTGCAAGCAAAGCTCCGGGTTACACTCTATTATAGAAAGATCTTCAAATGCAACCAAACGTCAAGAACGCCCACAGGACCGAAGCAACCCTGAAAGACGATGGCTCTCACAGAGACCAGTTTTGGCCAATTAAGTCTTATATTTTGTACTTCTGGAGCTGAGAGTTATCAAGAAGAACACTGGAGACCTATTTGGCAGTGTGCGTGTTTCGGTTGAGACGATCTAATTTATATGACAAGACCGTCAAAAGAAGAAAGAATTGAAATCTGTTGTAAAAGAAGTGTTTTGAAACTGGAAGAAGACCTAGATTTCATCAGTGATGGCAAGCTATCAAACATTGACGGTGAGCTATATCAAGCTTGAGATGTTTGTGCAATATTGTTAAGTGCTATGTTATAAAATCTACCTATTGTAGCCCTTATTATTGATTTAACTTAACTCATTTATGTAGCCTTATGCAAATAGTACATGAGTCTTCCGACCCACATTTTTAAACGCCGGTTTACAATTACTAAAGATGATCATGGGATTGTTAGTCGATTGACAAAATTCAGGTGGTACGAAAAGATGAAATGCTTAGAAAAACGAGCGCATTATTGATAACTTTCCCCCATTTAGGCGAAAAAACGAGTATTTTTTCCTGTAGATTCGACTGAGATCATTGTTTGCAAATTGCTCCGCGGAAGTGTCTTTAATTTGATACTCTTTAAGGGAACCCCAAATAATTTCTTTTCTTTTTTCCATCAAATTCTTAGAGTTTAGTTATATTATTTCTGTCGTATGTTGGGAATAGGAAAATGAAATTTGTGATATTTCTTGTACTTCTTACAATGGAATGAAACAAAAAAATGAAACGAGAACGAAAAGTCTTATGGATTGCCAAGGTTATGAGAGCCTTAACTGTACCTCTTCTATGTTCCGTAGCCAGTTTGAAATGTTTTCAAATGTCTTCTCCTGGGTTATATCGTATACAAGTATAATGCCCTGCAAAAATCAAAAACATGTTTTTAAATGATGCCTGATGCTGAATTGAAAGGGTATTAAATTAATATGTTTTAAGTAAGTTACGGTGAGACTGATGTTCTTTTTATTCTAACTTCTGAGTTTTGAATGATTCTATAAAGTAAGGTGTTTCTTCGAGCAAAAGAAACTGAATATCTCACAAAGTAAATAATTCCACTAACCATTGCTCCTCTATAATACTCCGTTGTCATTTCATCGAAGCGTCCTTGGCCAGCTGTATCCCTACAACAACAACAACACTGCCTTCTCAACACGGGGCAAATAAGGTTTTCAGAAAAAAAAGGACTGAAACATAGGCAGCAAGGAGGACGTTTTGGTGGTGGTGTACTAATTGCCACCAAAGGATGTAATAAGGCTTCCCCGAAGGAAGACGTCGCCTGCGAATCTAAATTATTGTTTATCGATGTGTGAACTACGAATTACAGGAAAATAACTATCGGAGTATTTTACCGGCCGCCCAATAGTAACCTAAAAGTTTTGCAAGAACTCCAAAATTCCTCTCAGTAACATCACCACAGACATGATATTAATCAGAGATTTTAATTTAAGTGAATTTAACTGGCCATGGGCCAACCGAATCGATCACTAGCTGGTGCTCGGAGCAACATACACTACTCTTGCACATATTATATAATTCAGGACAACTTCTTGCATGTAGTGGACGAACCTACGAGGGATCAAAACATACTGGACCTTGTTTTAACTACTAACGTTGACTTGTTGATGGGCAATGTTGTGGTAGGTGAACCCTTTTCTGCTCACAATTCCATGTATCACCTTCACCCTAAAGAGTGCGCCCTACATGTCTGAAAAAAAAGGTGGGAAGAGGCAATTTTGAGGGGTTTTCGAACCTGTAAGAGTGTTTTATCGGGCTTCTGATGAAAGATCGTAGTTAAACAAACCGTTTCCCAGCTTTTAGGAGTGCGGTTTTGAACGTGTTTGAATAATTCGCTCGAAACGGATAAAATACACCAGAAATTGTGGCATCTTTCGAAGGATAACATAACTTTAAACAAGACTCACGTCTGAAAACAGTTAAGGGAAGCAACGAGCTCGAGAGGGACGTTTTGTTATACTACTACATGAGAAATTTCTGCAATTTGATTGGCTTAGAGCAGTGGTATTTCCGCTTAATTTGAAATACCTACATGTGAAAATTACAAATCTTTTGTTGGTAGTTTTTCCAACTCCCGATAACTCGAACTTTTTTCGATTTCCCTTGAAGGTTCGAGTTATCGGCAGTCGACCGTAACCACATCACAACATGACAAGAGCACATTACGTCACTGTGAAACCTCAACGCCAAACTGACGAAACCACATAAGAACGTTAACGTTGTGGCTTCCCATACGCATGATGGCAAGGCAGAATGAGGAAGCATTGATAGTTAGTCAGCCGAGTGGTCGATATCGTTGTACGCCAACACATAGCACCGCTCTCGGTGGTTAAAGATTGCTGATCGCAATCAGTTCTCAAGCAAAAACAATGGGAAATTCTAACAACAAACCGATCGCGATGGATGATGAAAAAATTGAAACATCTAAGGCCAACGAAATTGTCGTTCGATACAGTACGACCGCCGATGGATTAAACATGAAGTTTGTCTCTCTCGCCAGCCACAAACTGGTTCCATCCAAGTTTGAAGATTTGTTTAAGGAAGACGGAAAGCAGGTTAAACAGTTTGCCATAGAGTATACAGCAGAAAAGGCACTCTCCATCATCGCAGACGGTAGAAAAGAGCACGAAACAAGCGCTCCGCGGCCCACAAAAATTGTTTCCGCATTGGGTTCAGAAGAGGAAGTTTATTCAGTCTTTGCTGACTGTGGTATGTTTGCTGCCGTTTTCACTGCCTATTCTCATCACTATAGGCTTAGGACATCGCCAGATGATTGGTGGTTCTGTGTTATCAAGAGGGTTGCCTGTGCTATCGATGAAAACTCTTCGAAAGCCTCCGTGCGCAACATGTTTGTCGATCATGAAGGAAAAAAAACAATCGAAGTACAGATTAAGGATCCCACTATCTACACCGTGGATTACAACTTTCTGTTCGATCAAATAGCAAAACAGTTAAAAGAAAACTTAAAAGTGCCCGAATTTGTTGATGGAGTCACCGCAGATTTTGGAACCACCTCAGCTGTACAGAAGATCGTCTCGCAGATTACGCTGATGTATTCTGTTAAACAATATTTCGACTATTTCGGAGACATTACCGAATGTGGAATACCATCGGTGGAGATGCTTGGCAGTGAAGATGACTGGATGAAATTGAGTTCTAAGCTGAAAGTTTTAAGAACACTCTTAGAACCTATAGAGAATGATCTTGGCCTTTCAGCAAAATGGTGGGATCTGGTTCAGAAAGTGTTCTGGAATCTGCAAACCACCTATCAGGGAAACCCAGATGAAGATTGGTGGAGTCATATTATGAGCTATCAAGAAGCTTATGAGTCGGGTATGTATTGTTCAATCAATTTATACGATTGCAATGCAAAAACCGAAAAAAAAAAAAACTACCGAAGTTGTTAAAAGTATCAAAACCACATGAAAAGCTTAGATAACGCTAAGGAAGTAAGAATTTATGCTAGCTACGAAACTGGTAGAAAAGTCTTGAGAGAATTGTCCATAGACTTGCCAAACGCTGATGGGCTTGTAAACGGCTTGTTTTACACAAAAAGGATTGACTGTTTTCATTTTATTGTAGTCTTTTTATCCACAAACGATATATACTTCTGGTTCAACTAGAGATTAACAGGTGTTTACCAAAACATATCACAGCTCAGTAAGCTGATCACAAGCAGCAGTTTCTAGAACGTCGAAAAGCTTCTTTAATGGAAATTCATCATTATTTTGGAAGAACGGTCTTTGTGAAGAGTTCGTATAATCACAGTCAGCGCGAGTAGGCTATCCAAAGCTCTTTTATTTGAGATTGTAAGTCAGGCTTAATGAAGTTTGTCCTAGTTTACAGTCAACTCTTGCATTGCATACACCCCGCTACAACAGACCTTCCCGATAATAGGAACAGCGGCTAAATCCCCGGCAATAACAAATTTCAGTCTTTTGGTTTAAATGAACTCTCGTTATTACGGACTCTCGCTTATGAGGACACTAACTCGAGGTCCCCGCAGTGTCCGCAATGCAAGGGAGTTGACTGTACTTCGTCTGATCTAGAGAGTACATATTCACAAAATTAAGCAAACAAAAATAATGTACTGATTTTGTTTTGTTTCTCAGGAACTCCCGCTGGCGGTATCAGGGGATGGATCACAGATTTCTTGGAGGGACTGCAATATGAAAGGGAACTGAGGGGGCCTGGTGACTTTACAAGTGGCTTAGTGGCCGTTCCTTTCACTATCAAGAACCCTTTTGATGTCCAGGATACCGCGGCATTGGTGGCAGGAATGCTGGGCTTCACTGTTCACAGGATACCCAACTGTGATGAGGTGTCTGTACAACCATTCCAAGGATGGTCTCTTATGTTGTCCGACGACTCGCCTTTTTGCAAATTCTGAACAAACTACTGACATTGGCTTTATAAATTAGTTTAGAAATAATACTTAACTACAAGGAAAGTTAAAAGTGTTTCAGCACTGTAAAATAACGCATTTAGAATTTTTTTCATTCAAATGTGGGCTCGATATTTTTTTTAAAAACGTAGTTAGTGAAAATTGCAGTCATTTAAGTGAAAGCCGCGCAGGCCAAAATACAGGTTTCGTGAGCGCGGAAAAGCCCCGGCCAAAATCACACTACACAGAAGAAAAAGGAAAAGAAAATGGAAAGAAAGCAAAGACAAAAGAAGGTGAAAAACATAATAGTCCCTGTCTTGGTTTTTTTTTTGTTTTCTGTTGTTGTTTTTGCTTTGTTTTTTTTGCTTTTTTCATTGCCTATACTTTGGAGACGGTTTTCACCACAGTTGCCCAACAATGATTCGCACTTTTTTGGTGGAAAAGTCAGACTGGAATTCCTAAAATTCGGCCTCTGAAAATCAGTAGTCATTTGACCAAATTGAGGCCAAATGAAGAGATTATTTTAGTCAGAAAAGCCCGACAGGATAGGAAATATCGAGTGATGAGAAGAGAAGAAGGAAAAGAGAGAAAGAGGAAAACAAAAAATCAGTGTTGCACTCTTTGTTTTTATATTGTCTACTTTGAGGATAGTGTTTCAACGAAAACATCTGCTTGACCGAAAAAATTCATCTGAAAATGCATGCGTAATTTAAACTACTTGCAGGTATCTCCTCTTTCCTTTGAAAACTCTTGAAAGTTTTTGTGGCACATGCTGTTTATGACAAGTACACTCAGCTTAAATAATATTAATATTTACAACAATTAGTTAATAGCGGCTAGAGCAGTCAGGAAATAGGGAGAAACACTCGACTACATTGCGATTTCATGCTCTAGCCGTTTCCCGCGTGCTTTACAACTTAGTCAACAAACAGAACAGAGCACAGACAGTCAAATTTTCTTTATTTGTTAAACTTTTCGTATTACTCATTACTTTCGGAATTAACGGGTCATTAAAGTTAGTAATTATCACGAGAGCTTTTTATAACAGAGATTAAGTCACAGTTCAACTGGGGTATCACAATGCTGGTCGTAAATACAGCTGATCGCTTACTAAAAAGTGAATTCGCACTGTTTCAAACTTCATCGATCTTATTATTCAATTTCATTTAATTTATCAAATTTTGGAGCAGTTTTCCGGTGTTGAATCCGAAAAAACCATATCTAAATTTAGAAAAAGAAAAAGAGAATTTTTGTGTTTTGTTTACCTCCTCCATTAAGCGGGCGCGTGAAGTTAGTAAGTTTCATGTCACAGTCGTGCAAAGACGGCTACGAAATGTACAAAAAAGTGTGATGGACGTGCAAAACAACCTATTGTTTTTTTGCCTTTTTTGTAGCCGTCGCCGTCGTCGTTGCTAAAGCTCCCTATCGTCCTTGATCCAGATATTTTACGACCATGGTAACGTG